ACGGCAAGCAGCTAAACAACTCAGAGACAACGACCAAATTGTTATGCAGGAAGCAGATAAAAGTGACATTTTCGTAATTATGGATAAAACGGATTATATAAAAAAAATCAATGCAATTATATCGGACGAGTCCAAATTCTGTCGTGTCGCATGAGATCCAACAGAACAGATTCAGAGGAGAGCAAATAAATTAATCAACACAGCGAACTCTGCAATTGGATCTAGAAAACTTACCCCGATTGTTGGGAGCTATTCTCCGGGCTACCTCTATGGAAACGTCAAAACCCACAAAGAAGACAACCCACTAAGGTCTATTATTTCGCAAGTTACTTCTCCTGTATACAAGACCTCCAAGGAACTCGATGCTATAATTAAACTATGTATCCCTAAGAAATACCCTCTGAGATCTAGAAATGAATTATTGGAAATTATTCATGCCTCACACTCTTCTGGCCTGTTTGCTTCGCTGGATGTTACTAGTTTGTTCACTAATGTACCAACCGAAGAAACATTAGAAATTTGCATGAAGCATGTGTATTCGCACGAAATCCTGCCAGCCCCATCTATACAAAAAAAATCTTAATTGGCCTTCTTCGCCTCTGTACATCAGAATCTCCCTTTCGGACTCCTGATAACAAAATTTACCGACAAATTAACGGCGTTGCCATGGGATGCCCTATGGGACCAACTTTTGCAGAATCCTATTTGCGTGAGCTGCTTTATATATTCTATATGCGTTATCGAACTGCGAAGAGCTTTGGAACATGAATAAGTCTCGAAATATAGCCATGAAATTGGACAAAATCACATTGCCGTTCCCAGATATATTGGTGCGAATTGAAGATAATTCCTTTGTCACTAATGTTTACCGAAAACCTACCGATGTCGGGAAAGTGCTCAACGAAAAAAGTGAATGCCCTCAGCGCTATAAAACCAGCACAGTGCGCGCCCTTATACCAAGAGCATTCACGACCTGCACATGATTTGAAAACTAAACTCAGATCGTGTAAACAAATTCTAGTAAATAATGGGTTTTCAAATAGAACAGTTGACACTGAAATATCAAATTACCGATCGAGAGAAAACTGAACCAACAATGCAGCAATATCTATTGGAACCCACACAACGGTCTTCTACCAAAAGCAGATGAACAGAGGCCTGGATGAACGAGTCCTACAGTCAATCATCCATAACAATATCAAGAGCACAACGGATAACGAAAATATAAAACTTCTGATCTACTACAAAAATAAGAGAATGAAAAACCTTGTAGTGAATAATAATTCCAGTAAAAAATCTGGTCTGCTTCAAAAACCTAATGTTGTTTATTAATTCTCATGTAATCAAGAAGGTTGTAGACTTCTTCAAAACATAAACTACATTGGTCGCACGCCCTTAAGCCGACGACTCATATGCGACCTACAACCTGGAGGACCTAAGAACCAGATGCGGGAGACTCACAATGAGACTATCACCCGAGCGTCAATGGAGGCCTGCACCAGCATACTCAAATAAAAATTAAGGGTGGCGCACCGATGATTATTGGTGGCGATAGTCGATTATAGGTGGCGCAACGGTGGGTGGCCTAATCAGCCGAAAATCGACAATAAAACACCAATAAATCGAAAGGGTGGCGAGTATAGGTGGGAGTCATCGATGAATCATCGATGAGTTATAGGGTCTGAAACATCTATGGCACATTGCAGACAAATCTCTTGTGAGCCACCGATAACCGTTTGCCCTAACTGCACAGTGCACGAAGGTATAATTGCCACTGTAATTTATCCAACGTAGAAAGGGGTTATTGGGTTGTGGCTCATTCGAGATCAAGACGAAACCATGACCTCGTTTTGTGTTCTTGGCTTTTAAGATTGAGTTCTGGTAAGAAAATTTAGCGTGAATTAAGTAGGTTCCAATAAAACTGACGGAGAGAAGCAAGGTGTTCAAAAAATTGCCTGTCACGCCAAAGTTAAGCCACTGGCCATGTATCAGACTGTTCCTGATATAAATTGTCCGATATACAATGAAAAAATTTTGTAGCAATATATACAGTTTTTCCATAGATGACGGCGAATCCAATTCTTCATGTTCACCTGAAATATTGCGTAAATTTTATTGTGAATTTTTTTTATTGTTTTCCATTATATTTACAATATTCTCAAGTTGCCCCATTTATCTAAACTCAAAAGCTAGTTGACGTAGTCGACAGCGGCTCGGCATCTTTGTAAAGCACAGCGGCTCGGCATAGCATATATCTTATATAGTAAAGCATAGCGGCTAGACATCAAGCAGCGAGCGAGTCCAGTAAGCACACGTTCATACCGGTTGGTTTGACTTGACGCGCGTCGGAGTTGAGCTTCCTACTAATCTTTACCATGTCCTGCTTGAAATATATGTTTTTCGGGTAATTTACTTGTCATACAAGTATCCTTTTTACGCAGTGGATGCGAGTAAAAATTCGGTTATCCATCCGGACTTCGATTGTGAAATTTAATATATACAGTCAAATAATTATTTAGATTTTAAGCCTAAATTTCTAAGAAAGTGGCCCCAGTATCTTTCATACGCAATAGACTAAAGATTAGGCTAGAGAAAAATAGTGACTAGAAGTGGTGCAGGTATTTCACGCCTGACATTTCAAAATAATCGTGTAATATCAATTCCTTATTTCACGTCAGAATATTCTTGATGAAAATATGTCGAATCAAACCGCTGTCAGAATTGGTGTAATGTTTATATTATAAAACTTGATGCCTATTAAGCATTTTCCCGTAGCCTTTACTCCGAGCTGAAACATCGTTCGATCTTTATGGATAAATGAAGTTTCTTTCAGCTGGTGTTTACTCGATTGCAGCAGCATGTTTAAATAAAATTGTTGATGGAACCATCTAATCATCAAGGTGGCAGCATTAACTGCTCTCATTTGACGAAATTAATATTTGCAATGCTTCAGTTAAATGTTTTGAAATTACTCGACTTCCATGTCCTCTCCGATGGCACAACGGTAGAGCTTCGCGTGTGGGAGACCGGAGTTCGAATCCTGCAGGCAGGACTCCCTTCAAGTCGATTTCTCACAAGGTATGTGTATGGTACTCTGATTATTTGTTCCTACTACATTGGTACCTGTAATGCCTTGGTGGATTTCCATACGTAGCCCTTAGAATGGTGATTGTATGAACAATATCAGTATATACGAAAGCATCGGATTTGAAACTCAATTAAAAAATTTTGTCGACCTAATTTTAAAGGTGGCCATCGGTGTCTCATAGATGCGCCACTGGTGCCAACGGGCAGTTATTGGTGGAAGAAGAGTTTTACGGGTAGGAAGGCCATCGGCAGGTTATAGGTGTGGGATAGGTGGTGCACGCCACTCTAAATTCACTATATAAACCATAGTCGCTCCACCTATGGCGTCCGCTGATAGCCATCCTAAAAACATAGGTGCTCAACTCTTAATTTTTATTTGGGTAGTTATGCGGTGCCCTGACCCATAGAGACTGACGATAGCTGAGTGTAATGAAATCTTGTACTTCATCCGGTTCGTTTTATTATTTTAAGCTACTTAAGGTCTTCACCAAACGTTGGCGGGCAAGGTTGAAATGTAATGACTGGTAACTGAACTAACGAAGGAAGAAAAAGTCAATCTACAAGAAGTTTGGATGGTTGGCTGACTGATAACTATTTGAGAAAAAATGAACAAGGAAATGTATAATGAATATTGGTGGTACCTACATATGTAAAAAAATGAAGCATATCTTCCTGGAAATAATTCCAGGAAGATATGCAGACGTATCAATTGCAAAATCCAGACAAGGGTTTATAATGGAGAGGTGAGACTAAAGACCGGCGGAACAAAAGCGTCGGCTAAATTAATTTCACATAGAACTACTTAATAGTGATCAATATTAGGTGTATTTGTCGGTATAGTACGTTGCAGGTAATTGGTTGTACATACGACCAAGAAGTCGTGGCACTTCTCCAGTTTAACAGGTACTGAAAAAATAATTTATTTCGGCTGCTTGTCTCCTGTCGTGAAATATACACCGAAAAAAATCCTGACGTAATCCTAGATTTCTGAGAAGCTATTCCTAGGGGAAATATAATATATATTCAAATTTATTCAAAAATTTCATTCACGTCAAAAGACAGGCAGCCAAAATAATTTTTTTTGTACCTTCCAAACTGCAGAAGTGCCATGTGGTAATTAAATTCTATGTATTGACATTATTATGTTCATTATTTCATCACTTCCGTACGTGTTCCTTCCGTACCGCACCGAGAGCTGGAAGCCGAGGGTTGGATCCCTGTTAAGGCTGAATTAAAATTCTGGTCAAAAATTAAAACTCAGTGAATACGTATGGCCATATATATATGGCATTGCCAGAGCATTGACTTCTTTTTACTAATGTAGCTGCTTGTAATATGATGCTCATATACGAAAGTAGACAAGATAATATGAATAAAATAAAATACAATCCAATCGTATGCCCACTGAAAACATCGTTGCAGGTCGGAAATCTATTTAGTTTTCAACTCTTACATTTTACCAATTTGCTTTGGACTCCACGATTTCTATAGTGAATCAAGGTCGTAGCATTGCTTGAATGCTACACAGTAACGTCAATACGGCGTTGCAAAAATGACCTTGTTTCTCTTTCCCTCTAGGCCTAGCATTCAACAGAATTCAAATTCTTTGAACGTAGGTTGCTTCAACGTTGATTAACTAGATATAAGGCCTAATAGCAGTGCGCTAAATGACTAAACGGTTCTGGAAATGATCTATTCATAGATTTTCTAAGAGTATAAAATAAATTTTTGAATATCCCAATTGTGCAGTTATCTGTATGACATCTCTTCATACTGAAGCGCTATGACCCATTATCTGATACTCAATGAGAATACTGGCATCTGTACACATTATCACCTGCTCTGAAGGCGATATAAGAAGTCGTCTATATATTAAAGTTGAGTGAATTTCTCATAACAGTTGTACGAGTGCCTCAAAAAAATAATTTTCCTCGTGTCTCTTTTTCGCCTTGTTTGAAATGAGGGCTGTGCTATTGTGGTGCTGCTTAGTTTTTTTCACCGTGGCTACTCCGATTGAAAGTAAAACCATCTGATTGTTTCTTTCTAATATACAGTATATGTTCATCGCCTCATCGATAATATTATTATATCTTTCATAAGTGACGTTAAAAAATGTACATGCAAGAGTGCTAGTCTTCTCTCGTATACTATCTCAAAATTTCAAACTATTGATGGTCAAGTTTTGAGCCATCGATTTAATACGGATCGACTTCTGGAGATGCCGATTTCCATTTTTCTTTTTTCCAGAATTCACCGGAGCAGATGATTCCCGCTACTTCATAGGTTACGCCGGCCTCAACTATACTGGCGCCCACTACCAGTTCATCGACTACATGCCCGACCTGAGTGAAGTACAGATGGACAACACCATCGAAAGCAGCTGTGCTACTGGAGTGTGAGTAAAATGCACTCGGTTCCAACATCGACTTCTGTCTGATTGTTGTAAAAACAAGAGTGACACATTGTTTGCTTGCCTATACCTGTAAAAGCTCGTTGGTAAAATTACTTGGTAGCGTAAACAGATATCACTAAGTTTATCATTTGATATTCCCTAAATTACAATGTGATTAATGGGAGAAAAGGAGGTATAATTTATTTTTACTAGCACTTCGGCAGTGACGCTCAGAACGTGCAGGTCAGGCAATTTCCAAGTTTCCAAGTGGGATCAAATTTTATTTCTGGTTTGCCAACAAACATTTATCTTTCGATTCATATCCTAATGAAGCCTTGAAGCCTAATAAGTTGAATGAAATTTTGCGTTTGCACATTCATTAATGCTGAACCGATGATAGTGTCCAATGCTGGATGGACCTTATCATCATCGCAGTATAATTATTTTCCTGGCGCTTCTTTGTTCAATAAAATATAAAATAAAATAAATATAAAATAAAATAAATATATATAAAATAAAATAATTTGTTTTCTAGCTTAAACCCAATAACACAATCGAGGGATATTTACAAGTTTCTCAATTAACAATGGGCTTACAATCTGATAAGAAGCCGGAAAAATATAATGGAAAACTTCTCTGGAGCATACATCAAACTTCAAGCGTCCATATTTGGTCAAGCGATGCATAAATTTGTCCGATTTTTTTGAATTTTTTTCTACTAATTCCCAGCTGGAACCTCTACAACGCCGTGAACTACGACCTGAATAGCAATGAAAGTCGATGCATATTCATTGGAATAAACTGGTGTGGGAATTGGATCACGCAATGCCAAAACATGGTGAGAATGAAGTGCGTGATACTAGATAGAAAGTGCCAACTTCGAACTTAGTTCATATTCCGATCCGTTTTTGATCACGTAAGAAGGTTCAGTGATCTACGAAGTTTAGTGCTTAATGAAAAATGTTTACGTTCAATTAACACGGAACGGAATTGAAATTATAATTGGAACCTGCTTGGCTTACGACAACAACATTGTTAGCTACGCAACTAAATAATATTTTGATAATTAATCTATTTTCCTTCTTAACACAGGTTTAACGATTTATTCTGTTGCAGCAGGATATGTCATAAAATATTTTATATAGAATTTGAACTAGTCAGAAAATATTTGTCGCAATTTTTTGAATAATTCAGGCATAGAGGCTAAGTCCGTTCCATCAAACTTTTACCCTCAGGTATCGTCGCTGAGATACACAGGAAGCCCGTACGGCCTCAACGATGACTACTACAACCTGTACGAGGGGACGAGCTTCCGGGGCAGGGAGTTCAGAGGCAACACAAACGCCGCTGACCTGGGGGACCTGGACATGGCTGTCTCATCGCTTGTCGTGACTGGACAGTCGGCGTGGACGTTCTACACGTGAGCATAAAACCGTACGAAGTTGAACTGTTTCGGAGATAATGTCAATAATTTACTACTAAACTCCCAGCAGTTAAAATTTTGCCTTTCGAAAACTTATACCGTCGAATAATAAAAAATATTACAAACATTGTGTTCTGCATGAACATACAGGGTCATCAATATTTAGCGTTACATTGTTTTTTTCAAAATCAATACACTCGCAAAACAGTCAAATGTGTCGTATGAAACCACGTCAACTGTTCTCCGGAAGGACCTAAAGTTGTCCCCATTCAAGCATATCAAAAAACACAAACTGTCTGCTCAAGTTGTTGACAAACGCCTCCAAAGATCCAAGATTCTTCTTTCCCGCATTCATGATGGCACGCTGGCAACCTCGTTTTCAGTGATGAGAAGATATTCAATGTTGAACACCACTTCAACTCCATGTTCCCCACTTCATTACCAAAGATGAATGGCCCCCATCGTCATCCGATCTGAATCCTCTGGATTTTGGGATCTGGTCATACCTTGAGAGCAAAGTCTCGACCGTTCACCATAGCAGTTTGGACGCCCTATATAAAGGTCAAACTGCTGAAGGAGTGGGCCAAAATTCCACAGAGTGTCATTCGTGACTCGTGTAAGGCTTGTAAGGCTTTCTCTAATTAAGCGTCTACAACTCGTTATTGATGCAGATGGTGGACATATTGAATGAAATTGTGGGAATTGTATCTCTGAACCTCTGCCTACATAAATACATTTCAAACATTCACAATTGTGTTTCATTTCATAGTTCTAACCACTCAAAGTTGTAACGCTAAATATTGATGACCCTGTATTGTTGCATGTCATGTTCTCGTGTCCAAGTTATAAAATTAAACTGTCCAGTGACGATTCTATTCAAAGGGTGCGAATAATGTGAATACATTTTAACAGATCGGATATTAAGAATGAATCTTGTGACGTGAAGATTCACAATGAAGTTCGGCTATTTTTTTAACTATATGTACTAAAGGCAAGCATATAAATAATGGTACAATACCGTTGGATCATATTTAACCTGATAAAACCTCATAATATTGATGCCTGTAGAAAACTTCGTTCTATCTTCCTGCCCGGTCCTTTTTACCGGCCTCCCCGCTAACAAAATTATGAACCAACAGCGACGTCAACTTCACGGGATCCAATGTGTGCGTGTACGCGGATGAGCACTACGCTAATGGGAGCATCCATCTTGACTTCGCACGTTTCTATACTGTAAGACAATGTCATCAATGTTTACAGTGCAAAATGTCATGTTCAAGCTATACCGGTGTAAAATACCATGCTTAAAGTTTTGCGGAGCAAAGCGCCATGCGCAGTGTTTTTTGATTCATTGTGAATACCTTGCCATTTTCATTTTGTTTTATCCAAGAAATTCCATGTTCGCTTATTTTGAAAACTTAGCATTCATCGTCTTGTATTCATATGGTAATATATTCGTAACTTTAGCAATGACGTTCACTATACCCATTTGTTTTAATTATGTTGATATAAACTTGTGCAGGCGTCTACTCACAAATTGTATTGTTTAAGGGAGAGTAAAGTGGCACAGCCCGTAAAATATCCTACCGTCCCCAAAATCTCCAAACGATTGACCATCTCCAGAAAACTCATTTGGCCAGATATGGTTTTATGACGAACTTGCTTGAATTTCACTGAACTTAGCACACAGCGATCATATAATACACCGTGCAGATGGACGAGCTCGGTATGGCGGACAACTCCATCAGGTCTGTGGCGCGGGGCTGCCTCAGCGACCGCGTGCTGGGCCATTCCGACGGTGAACGCCGCGGTCAAGACGCCACTAACTGAACAGATGCGGCTGATGTTCCATTGCGCGCTGAGAGGTTTTATTTATATGATGAAAAAATAATACAAACAAATAATAAGCTACGTGTTTTATACATAAATTTTCTTTTGTTTTCACACACACTCTAATGTAAATCAGAGAGTTTATACTTTGTGGCTCACAAGTAATGCAGATGCTGGCTGGTGTGATATGCGCTCAGTCCAGCCATCTTTCCCAGTTCGGTGAATTGCGTTCTCCTACATTTGTTCGCTCTCGATTATTTCTGACAGTTCTTTTTGATAACTCTTTAGTTAACATTTCATTTCACTGTTTTCAATGCTAATAGCGCGATGTGCAAATTATGATGATCAGGAACGTTATGATTCTTCGTGTATTTTGCACTCTCTTACCAACGAAGTTGCGTATTACTTTGCTAGCGTACTTGATATATGTTGGGCAGCAGGCATAGTCCTCCGACTGTCAACATTTAGCACGAAGCGGCTTTGTTGTGGTAAACCTAATAATTGGATTATGCTTTTATTCGCCTTGCCCTTGACGACAGGCTCTGTTAATAATCTCTTCCTATATGTTTCGTGGACAAATTATTGCGATTGTTACAGCCTAATGTTCTTAGTTTGTTCTGTTCTACTTTTATTATTGCCCACGAGTGTTTTTAGCGATTGAGCCTGACAACAAGCTGAAGAAACCTGGCTACACTGAGAGAAAAAGGCCCCCCGTTTTGAAACACTTGGGTGTTTCAAAACCTCCCGAGCTTGACGCTCTTATATTTGTGCGGCTAGCGTCGCGTGGTCAGTGCGCCGAATGCTGTATATTAGAGGTGACTGTGTGGAGCTGCCGCTCATGAATGCCATGAATCTACACTGCTTACGGTTGATTGGCCCAACTCAATTCGGTTAATTGTTTCAACTCACTGCTGTTCTTTTGTCAATAGTAATTTAAAGAGCGACGTCTATACCATTCAATCACACAAGAAGTTGATCATAAAATCAAAGATTCATTCTGGTAGTACCGCGCGCAAGCCAAAACAAACACTGCAACTCTATGTATAGTTGCTGTCTCCGTAGCTGAGTGGACTAAAGTGCCTGCTCGCGAGCTTTGGTTGCAGTCATGGCAGAGGTTCGAATCTCGGCGGTCGACTCATGGTTTCTTCAACCAGAGTTCGATAGAGGTGAGAGTAAAGAGTGTAGTTTCATGATGATTGTACATACCGATACAAATTGTGTAATAAATATGTGTATAAAAGAATGAATATGTGACTAATTTCGCTGTGAAGGAGAAAAGCACTGAAATCAGATAGAGACGGAGAAATATAGTTTTCATAATTTTGGTAGGGAAGTGGTCATGGATTAGACTGGGATCGACCGGAGGAGTAGAATATGTTAGAATAATTTCATCTGGCGCTGGAAACTGGACAAAGATATTGCAGAGATTCTGAAAAGAAGGTTTCATTCTCCGTAGATTTTTGAAACACCAAGGTGTTTCAAATTCGCAAATTCTGAAACACCTGAACGTTTATTGAAACACCTGGGTGTTATGGTTTGGGCACGATCTCTCAGAGAGGATTTGAAACACCCAAGTGTTTCAAAACAGGGGCCTTTTTCTCTCAGTGTATAGACAAATTTAGTCTATATAGCCCTACAATTCCGCTCAGTTTCTCAACGTGTAATTTGTAACCAGGCAGTCGAGCGTTTTTTTGCGGATTAATTTCATAATATCAAGGTAGAATATTTTTATTATTTGAATGGTTCAAAGACATACGTCTGTAATCACCCACGTATCACGTTATAGATAAACAGATTCGTCTCGAAGCAAAATGACTTTACATGGGGAAAGAACCTAAATAATAGAACTTAATGGACGCATATGAATTAGACAGAAGAGAAACTTCTCGATTTATTGTGAGAGACTCTAAAATCAGTAATAATGCAAATTTGAGCGAAGTGTTATATAAATAAAACATACGTTACAATTCATCAAAGCTCACTCATTTAAATTGACTAAATAAACCCAGAATGTCCACCGTGATAGGCACACATCTCATCATGAATGTTCAGTTGCAAAATATAGGGCTAATGCGCACTAGCGACTGGTGTACGCTTTACCAGTATAGCGCAAGCAAATGAATAAACTAGCGTCGTCCACGTTGACAATCAGAAAGAGTCAGTTTGTCGGGAGGATCATGATAGCTATTTTTTTCTGTACCAGGTGCATCATAAGCTGGCTGCAATTCAAGATGCAACTTTAAAAATAAACATTTGATCTCAGCTTGAATCATGAAAGCTCATTTGAACACAGTTTACACGTAGACTTATTCCATCAGAGGATGAGAATTTGATTCACATGTCTTAACGGTGTCTGTAAAGTTTGAATGATTGAAAATTGTATAAAATTTCAATGAATTCACTTGTCTAATGCTCGATAGTCATCACGAAATTGAGGGAATAGTAAAATCAAAGTCTAAAGATTGTAGTGAAAAAGCAGTGATGCAACTCACGAAGTCGAGCTGTCCTTGCTGATGAATTATTTCTTGGACTTCAGAACTGCACGGTTGAGGCAGTGGGCGTTATTTCCGGCCTTCATTTCCTCACCACGCAGGCAGTTTCAACAATGGACTATTACCATCTGGGAGGTGAACTTTGGAAAGCTTGTATAATGGCATTACAGTGGCTGAAATGCCTATACGACCACCTAGTTTTTTCTGAATATTTTTTCTTGCATAGAAAAATACTGGATTCGAATTATGCAAGGCTAAAATACGTTTGAAAACGGTTTCAACGCTAAACGAAAAAAATAATTTTTTCAAAATATATGAGAAGAAATGATGAAAATCACTGAAGATAATCCCTCACCGATAAGCATATTTTTTCAGCAAGTTTTGGATTGATAATATGCTTTTGTGTGAGCATTGGACATTTATCCCTTTATGTACTTGAATTTCTTCGAGTCATGGAATATCTGAGGGATACGTCATGCTGTCACATCAACTCTCGTGGCCAATTTTATAGAAGTAGATGTAGCGCCAGCTTTAGAAGCCTCTGACTACAGTCGCCTAAGATCCCCGTCGGTTAATTTTGGGGTTGGACGTGGGTGCATTTATGATCCGTAGCCGTCCGAATTAGCAAAAATTAAGTGATTGCACAACGGTTTTGTGCGTTTTTTTCGTTTGCAATGTCCAGTTGGCTTCTCCTGCATTTTGCAAAGGCCAAAATCTGCGCCTTCTTGGCCTCTGTGAGTTCTGTTCCCTTTGGCATCTTTTCTACTTCGAAAAAATATAAATGAGGACACTATACTACACCAGAAGTACCCTAATTAACGGCGAAAATTAGGATATTCTTTATGTTATTGTACTTTTTAACGTGAAAATATTACAAATATATACTAAAATGAAGTAAAGACGCCTTATAAGACGCCTTGGTCTTATAACCAGTTCCACAATTTTTTCTGAATTTCATCATTTCTACTTATAAATTTTGAGAAAACATTTTTTCCGTACAGCGTTGGAACCGTTTTTAAACGTAGTTTAGCCTTGTATTATTAGAATCCGGTATTTTTTGTGCAAGAAAAAATATTTGAAAAAAGTGGGTGGTCGTATAGCCATTAATATTTCCGCCACTGTAGTGGATTAACTTATAGACCAGTAAATGACTTATCTGGCTTTCTTGATTACAACGCTAATTGTGTAAATTATGACAATTAGCCTAACTGCCTTCTGCACGCACGACTCAGCTGAGTTCGACGATATACAGGGTGGAGCAATCAAACTTGCTTATTTGAAACATATATTATAACAAAAGTACAGACTATACAAATGAGTGTGCAATAACATAATAATTAAGAAACAGCATATTTTACAATTTGCCTATTTTAAAGATAACTTCACATCGTCAGGAAACGCTCAGATGTCATCTAAACTGTCCATTCCTCACCACGCAGGCAGTTTCAACAATGGGCTATTACCATCTGGGAGGTGAACTTTGGAAAGCTTGTATAATGGCATTACAGTGGCTGAAATGGCTATACGAACACCTAGTTTTTTCTGAATATTTTTTCTTGCATAGAAAAATACTGGATTCTAATTATGCAAGGCTAAACTACATTTGAAAACGGTTTCAGCGCTTTACAAAAAAATAATTTTTGTAAAATATATGAGAAGAAATGATGAAATTTCGAAGAACCTAGTTGGAAATGGTTATAAGACCATGATATGTTTTTTTTCCGTTTGCAGATCCCGTACACTCGTTTTAATACGCAATCTTACCTCCTTTCGCCTTAATTAGCTCAATGCATCATCTTCTATGCTATATTTACCAAATCATTCATAGTCTTTTGAGGAATTTTATCCCAGGAACAAACGATAGCCGTGCTTGGCTCACTCACAGATTGGAACTGGCGCTCATTTTGGTACACATCCCTCGCCATGATGCTCCATAGGTTTTCAGTGGGGTGTAGTTCAAGACTAAGCGCTGGCCACGGCAACAGGGTAATATTCTGCTCTTGGAACCACTTGTTTGGTGACTTTGAAGTGTGAATTGCAGCATTGTCTTGCTGGAAAACATATGATCCCTCATGTTTCTCATCGCCAAAAGTGAGAAGATGGTGAAATAGCGTGTGTTTGTATGCCTCGGAATCTAGTCTCACTTGTAAAATAGCTGGAGATGATTTTACCTTTCGGTTGAACGCCCCCCAAGGCCCAAACCATGACCGAACCAAGACCAGATTGCCGCTTGAAAAAGAATTCAGGCTCACGGTCCAGACGGTGCCAATTGCATTGCCATCCATCTGGACCATCAAGATTGAACTTTTTTCCATCACTGAAGATAATCCCTCACCGATAAGCATATTTTCTCAGCAAGTTTTAGAAGGTTGATAATATGCTTTTGTGTGAGCATAGGGGCATTTTTCCGCTTAATGTACTTGAATTTCTTCGAGTCATTGAATATAAGACGGATGCGTCGTGCTGTCACATCAACTCTCGTGGCCAATTTTATAGAAGTAGATGTAG